CTACCACTCGTTCGGAAAGCTGTCTCATCACAAGAAGAACGAGCAAGGAACTTGTGTGTTGAAACTTGTGAAACTTTATTTGTATCAAACAAAAACTAATACAATTGCTGCCCATACAATAATATAATTTAAAAGTAGTGAAGGAGACAAAACGGTCTATAACTCAGTGAGGGCAGTGAGTCCACCTTCTCTGCTATTCTGTTATAGCCTTTATTAGTAAAATAATACAATATGAGATCAACGACGACGATAGCATATTAAGTTCTAAACTACCTACTAGTATGTGTTCTTCTGGTGTACAAGCTATATTACTGTAAAGTTTCATTACAATCCGTTCAGTAGTTTTTGCGTGAAAGAGTAACAAACATCTATAGTTACAAACTTTCGCATCGCATTGAAAATTTTAAGTACTTTAGACCTTGTCATATTTATTGTATTAAGTTGTAAATAATGTGTTCCGTCATACTTGTGAACGGGTGCTGCTTGTGGGGATTGGTCTGTTCAGGTTGCGAACATTGATTAGATTTTTTTTTGCAATGGCATATGCTGGTCACTGTATTCTCCCAAATTTGAATTTAAATGAATTTGTATTATTGTAATCATGTATTTTTAAAAAAATACGAGCCGAGTTTCTTATCAGTTCTTCTCATCTTGAAATCACTCCGAACTGACTGTAGATTTGACATATCATAAGAGTCTGTAATAGACCTACATACATGAATAAAGATATTTTGAATTTGAATATGCATACACTATTGGTTCGTTTAGTTCGTTCGATCGTACTTGTAAAGTCCACACTCACACCATCACTGAAGTTCAATAAACGTAAAAGCGTTTACTGAGCAAAGCTTTTATTTGAAGTAAACAAATGAGCTTTACAATACTTGACATCGATTGCTCAAGCATGGGATTTCATGTTGTCAACACATACAGCTAATTTATGGTGTTTGCCCCATTTAAGACTATCTGCTTAGTTTGATGCCACTTTTTGTCTGTTTGTAAAACACTTGTGAAGTATATTTTTTAATGTATGATAATGATATGGTTGCCTTGTCTAACACTTGAGCGATGTGTTGGCAATTTATAACGATAACTAGCTTTTGGACTCTTTAATTTATCCCCTTAGGGGTGGAATTTATCAAAATCCTTTGTTAGGGGATGCCTACGTCATAGTAGCTTTATGCTTGTAAAGTTAGCCCGATCGGTTTAAAATTGACAAAGTTTCATACAAAAAGCGCCTTCGCTCGACTTAATTTATCCCCTTAGGGGTGGAATTTATCAAAATCCTTTGTAAGGGGATGCCTACGTCATAGTAGCTTTATGTAGGCCAAGTCTCAGCCCGATCGGTTTAAAATTGACAAAGTTTCATACAAACTTTCATCCCCTATTTTATGCCCTTGGGGGTAGAATTAATCAAAATCCTTTCTTAGCGAATGCGTATGTCATAACATCTACCTGCATGCCAAATGTCAGCCCGATCCATCCAGTGGTTTGGGCTGTGCGTTGATAGATCACTATGTCAGTCACCTTTGAGTTATACATATTTAGATAGATAATAATCTAGGACAATTTTTTTATGGGTGATAGTGGAATAGTGCCCCGCCAGGGTATACCGTTAGCACCACTCTACTATCATGGAAAAAGAAGAAAGTATCGTAGAATTTCAAGAAAAATCTACCAGATGGTAAACCTGAAATGACACATACTTTCGATGTTCGCGGCTTCGATTCCTCGCACCGTACATTTATATTCATTAGTACGATTGTTTGTATTGCTCTGGGTGTATTACATGTCTATTATGTATTAACAAAAAATAATGTATTTAAATATTACTGTAACCGAGACCGCCTCGGTGGTCTAGCGGTTTAGCACACAGCTTTATTTTCGAAGGTCGCGGGTTCTTTTCCGCGGACGGTACAAGCATTTATAGTCATGAACATCATTGTTTCTATCGCTCTGTGTATTTTCTATGTATAGTATGTATGCATTTACAAAAAAAATATCTATGTATTGGCATCAGTAGTCTAGTACCCATAACACAAACGGCTAGGTTTGGGACTAGATGGCGCTGTGTTAATTGCCCTGAAATATTACTATTTACTATCAGTTGTTTAGTACCCAGAACACAAGCTCTACTTACCTTAGGACGATATGGCGCTGTGTTAGTTGACCAGGGTTTTTTATGGATGATAATGGAATGGTGCTCTCGCCTGCGCTAACGGTTTACGCTGGCGGGGCACCAGTGGAAGATAATGGTCAGATCAGTTAGCACATTGAACAAATTCAGCAGGAATTAAGTACGAGAGTTTTTGAGGCGAAAAGAGGACTGTTAGGATTATTAATAAAAAAATAAAAAATAAAAAAAATGTAAATAGCAATGTAACATATTAGTTTGACCTCCGCGTGGGTTTCCCTGGAAACCATCATGATAAACTCCTGATGAAATTACCACGATGGGCTAACTGACCTGACCTCATGCTCATATTATCATGCTCCACTGGTGCTCCGCCAGCGTAAAACGTTAGCGCAGGCAGGTGCACCGTTCCACTATTTGTTTTTGTATAATAATGGAATAATGCATCCGCCTGCGCTGAGGCATGAGCATGAGCAAGATGAGCATGAGGTCAGGTCAGTTGGCCCATCGTGACAAATTCACAAGGAATTTATCACGATGATTTCCAGGGGGAACCGCGTGGAGGTCGACCTAACATGGTACATTGCTAGCAATGGGAGTTACTAGTTCCCATTACTAACAATTCCCTTCCCCCCCACCCCCCGTTCCACTATTATCCAATAAGAAAAAAACTATGATGGTTTCCAGAGGAACGCGTGGAGGTCAACCTGACATGGTACATTGCTAGCAATTGGGTCAACAAACCACATTACCAACAATCCCCTTTCCCCCTCTATATTCTGTTATCTATACATATAAATAAAATTGCAGTGTCTGTTTGTAATATTGAAATAACCGTGTTTTACTACATGCATATGAATATAATTGTAAGGTATGGACATGTAATGTGTAGGAACGAGGATAATATTTTAAGAAAGGTGTTACATATGAATGTGGATGGTTATAAGGGCAGAGGAAGGCCGAAAAAGAGATGGATGGACTGTGTGAAAGATGATATGGTGAGAAAGGAAGTAAATAACGCGATGACTGCGAACAGAGATGAATGGAAGAGAAAAACATATTACGCCGACCCCAAATAAACGGGATAAGGAAGAAGCAGATGATATCCATATGAATATAAATAAGGTACATATACCGAATTTTTTTTTTACAATCTTTGTCGGGATTTTGATTCTGACGGGACTTTTTTTTGGCAGGCAGCTGATGTAATAAGGAGTAACTTAGGCTACTTTTATTTTAGGAAAATTCAGTTACATTCCACGCGGACGAAATCACGAGAACTGCTAGTTGGTTATAATTTTTGTAATGTTGTATGATTGTATTGTATGCGCCAAATAAATATATTTATTTAGATAGATAGATAAATTCTTTATTCACAATTACAGACACATAACATACATGAGATACAGAAACAACACGATTTAATTTTCGATAAACATTTTATTTCGATCTTTCTAAAATTGTGAGCTAGAAAGCCTCGAAGGAAGATATTTGCATACACACTGGCACGCTGTTAATTGCTAATTAATTCGTTCACGGCACTTTTCCTCATGTAATTCCTGTTATTGTTTCCTTCAGTTACTAATTAGGTACAATAAATTATTGTTTAGTCCGGCTGGTAGTGTAAATGCACTTCGTTACTAACTGCAGTTACAAGCTCCACTTGTTTTCAAGATAAGAACCCTCGATGATTTTATTCTGGCTTATTACTACCAGACGGCCTCAGTGGTCTAGCGGTTTAGCACACCGCATACTTCCTATGGTCGCGGGTACGATTCCTCGCACGGCACAAACATTTGTATTCATGAGTATGATTGTTTGTATCGGGTATTTTCTATGTATAATATGTATGTATTTACGAAAAAAAACATATCTATGTATATGTATTAGTTATCTAGTACCCATAACACAAGCTCTAGCTAGCTTAACTTGGGTCTAGATGGCGCTGTGTGAATTGTCCTGAGATTATTATTATTATTCCCGCGGGGGGGGAAAGGAGATTGTTAGTAATGTGGACTAATGGTCATATTGCTAGCAATATACCATGTCAGGTTGACCTCCACGCGGTTCCCCCTGGAAACCATCGTGATAAATTCCTTGTGAATTTGTCAAGATGGGCTAACTGACCTGACCTCATGCTCATCTTATCATCCATTGGTGCCCCGCCAGCGTAAACCGTTAGCGCAAGCGGTTGCAACATTCCATTATCATCCATAAAAAAAAACTATTCCCGCACAAGCTTCCCCATGTCCCCATTTAAGACACACAAAGCACCTAATCCACTCGTTTTGCGTACAAGAGCTGTAAAAACAACAAATACTAATGGGGTAAAATGATTCCAAAGATCATTTTAAACACATGAAAGGGATCGTTTCACTCCAAACATTAAATTCTAAGATATCGATCAAAATATTAACCTTCAAGTACCGGGTGCAGTGATCGAATATGATATCGATCATGCTTAAACATTAGTTAATTGCTATTAATACCCGCAAATAAAAGAACATTTCTAGAAACACAGATATGTAAAAAGTAATGAAAGTTCAAAAACAGGCTTACATTAGATCAGTGTCGCATTTTTAGATTATTTTATAATAAGATGAAGTACCGAGCGTATGTTTAAGTATATTAACCTCAAATAATTATAACGTACACTAATGCATTTTCATTGCACTTACCATAGACAATTTTAAACTTTCGCGCGTTTTTTAGTCACGTAAAATTTTAACTACGATTGGATGATAGCGGACGGAAACTCCCACAGATTGGAAATACTGTCCTCTCATTGGTTATTCTCATAACGGGGCTTCTGTAGCTATGTTCACGCGGCTCATCCGACCGCTCGAATAGCGCCATCTTCATTACTCTCAGTTCGCCGCGAACTGCCGTCTGAGTAGTGTTGTCGACATATCGTATAAGAACAATATAACCGCACCGGTACTATTTGAACCGGTACACGTAATTTTAAGTATAAAATACTAGTATAACATAAAAAAAAGTGTCGAGTTATTTGATGTTTGTGTAGAACATATACGTTTTATTTGAGTGCAAAAGTGATTTCGTTTTGCATTTCTTTGGTGTGAAATCTCGCTGAGGTGTGAAGGTGAGTTTTTATTTTTCTAGTTTAGTTTTTGCAATCCACGGGTGGATGGCCGGCCGCCGGCGCGCCGGCAGGGAAGCCACCGCGAATCGATTGTCCCTGCTCCCGGGACAACGGGATGGCTGCGGTGTTGCCAGATGATGAGAAAGATGGACCTACTACAATTATCAAATGTTCAAACGATTTATGAAACCACTAAATAAATAACAATTTAGCTTGTAAAATATACTGATTTTAATTAAAACATATTCATAAGTTATTCTGTCTATCACAAAATCTAATCATTATTAGAAAAAAATTATATGTACATAGATTTTATTTAATTAATTATATATTATAGTATTAATATCACAAATTTTCGCCATTACTGCACTATAACGCTTTCTAATTCTACCCAAAGGTTAGCTGATAGAGAATGCCATGTGGCATTAAGCTCGCCTCTTGTACACTCTTTAAAGTGCAATAAAGAATTAAAAAAAACTAGTTATCAAACATATAAATAACTATGGACCTCCTGAAATCACCAAATGTTTGAAAGACTAATGAAATCGCTAAAAAACTATTTTTTTCTAATAATTTCACATTATATTACAATTTAGAATAAAAAATATTCTAAATATTTTATTAAAAGAATGTAAGAATTATTAGAAAAAAATAGTTTTTTGCCATATAAAAATGTAACTCCTAAAATCAAAAGCAGGAATTACTAAATGAGTAACGATTGAACTGGATAAACCTACTGATTTTATAATAATTTAAAAAAAAATCTAAAATAATTAAATCCATATCATAGTCTAAAAAATATTATAGAAATTTTCTTATTGCCATATTTACGATTGAAGGATATGTGATACAAACAATCATACTCATGAAAACAAATATTTGTGCCGTGCGAGGAATCGAACCCGCGACCATCGGTCGTAAAGCGGCTAGACCGCTAGACCACCGAGGTCGTCAAACTGTTCAATTCATCAATTCTAATTTTTTTTATTAAACAAATGATTTCTAACTCCACTAAAATATAAGCAGACACTAGAAAGCCGTTCAAATTCACCAGTTCTAGTGGTAAAAACAGAAAGGTGGCAACACTGTATGGGTGAGCTATACGTACTTAGGTATATTAGCTAGGGCAGAATGTAAAACACCCTCGACTCTTTATAATCACTATACAACCTTGTTTCTACGGACTCGTCTGTCCATTTTATTTGACAGTGAACTTGATCTACATAGTAAGTACATAAACGGAAAGGAAACGGCATATATATTATTATATGTCTAAAAATTACGTGTCACGTTGTTAGTCTTTTTTTGGATTATAATGGAATGGTGCACCCGCCTGCGCTAACGGTTTACGTTGGCGGGGCACCAGTGGAAGATGATAAGATGAGCATGAGGTCTGGTCAGTTAGCCCATCGTGACAAGCTCACCGGGAATTTGTTACGATGGTTTCCAGGGGAAACCGCGTGGAGGTCGACCTGACATTGTACATTGCTAGCAATGGGGTTATCAATCCACATTACTAACAATCCCCTTTCCCCCTCACGTTGTTAGTCCGCGATGGACTCCTAAAGTACTGAACTGATAGCAAATTTGATTTGCACATTGTGTGCAATTTGATCCAACTTGAAAGATAGGATAGCTTACATCTCAATTTATAGTCGCAATATTATTTTATTCAAGAACTTTAGCCACAGCAACACGTGGCCGGGTCTGCTAGTATTACTATAAAATAAAAATTAAAAATAAAAGTACGTAAATGGATTGCTTCGTTTAAGTTCTAATTCAACTAAAATATGTATTTGTCGATCTCCATGGTCCAGCGGTTTAGAGCACCGCCTTACTTCCGATAGTCGTGGGTTCGATTCCTCGCACGGCACAAACATTTGTATTCATGAGTATGTTGACTTATAATTGTATGTGTGTATTCGAAATATGTAATTTATATATATACTAGCTTTTGCCTGCGGCTTCGCTCGCGTTAATTTATCTCCTTAGGGGTGGAATTTATCAAAATCCTTTCTTAGGGGATGCCTACGTCATAGTAGCTTTATAAATGCAAACTCAACCGATTTTGATGAAACTTCATAGTATATAGCTTATGTATCAAAATAACATATAGGCAATAATTTAAAAAGATATTATGTAAATTGGACGAAATGTAACGATAAATTTCAAGTAAGTTTGCAGACGAAGTTGCACGGGACAGCTAGTCAACAATGATATACAGACCATCATACATACATTGTTGTCTGTATGTATATTATAAAAAAAAAGCTAATTGCAGTAGGGGTTGTTACTTTATGAATAATGTATGCGTAACTATAGTATGCACCGCGTAATTGAGTCGGAACGTACTTCCTCGGCTTCTTGGTGCAGGTTCTAACCTGAGAAGTCTGAAGGTCATCGACATCGCGGCGAGCAGACTATGTATATATTTTATATTTTACTAGCTGTACTCGGATTTCATCCACGTGGAAGTTGCCTTTATTTTCTAAAATAAAAGTAGCCTAAGTTACTCCTTATTACATCAGCTACCTGCCAAAAAAAGTCCCGTTAAAATCGGTCACGCCATTTCAGAGATTAGCCGAAACAAACAGATACTCAATTTTATTTATATGCATAGACTAGCAGTGCTCGCGGTTACACACGTTTTAAATTGTATGTAATTTGATGCACAGTCAATAGAGACGTACCTACGTTATGATCATGATCTTATCTCATATCTGCTTCTACATTAAAGAAACTTATTGTTAACTAGCTGTTCCCGCGACTTCGTCCGCGTAGAATTTAACTTTATTTGTCTAAAATAAAAGTAGCCTAAGTTACTCCTTATTACATCAGCTACCTGCCAAAAAAAGTCCCGTTAAAATCGGTCACGCCATTTCAGAGATTAGCCGAAACAAACAGATACTCAATTTTATTTATATGCATAGACTAGCAGTGCCCGCGGTTACACACGTTTTAAATTTCAATATAAAAAATAGCCTATATGTTATTCTGATGTGTAAGCTATATTTATTAGCAGGTAGCTAACGTATCCAAGAGTAACTTAGACTGCTTTTCTTTCAGAAAAATAAAATAAAATTCCACGCGGACGAAGTCGCGAGTGCAGCAGTTACATATATAATACTTTCATACAGACAGAAGACTTTCTATACTAGAAGGTCTATTACCATTTCGTATATACATATATATGCATTTTATTTAAATTTAAACTATGTTTAAATCATCTATAACTGGATAATGTGACATGAAAAAAATAGTGTTAACATTTTCTATTTTATTTGTTTTGCAATCTTTAATTTACTGCATTTTTATGACAGCTATATCTGATAGCTAGCTATAACTGAGAGGAGCTGGTTTCTATAAAGTTAAAAGAAAACGAAATATCTTTTTAAATTTTCTGTTTTATTTATTTACAATCTTTAATTTACTGCTATTTTAAGACGGCTATACCAAACTGAGAAAAGCTGGCTTTCTTTAAATTAAAAAAAACATTATGTATCTTTTTTACTTTCGTAACAAAGTCAAAAGAATATTATACATTAAAAAATATATCAACTGCAGGACATCACTGAATAAAAACACTATTATACAGTATTAAAAATAAATCTTGAAAAAGAAACACTGCCCATAATTAATTGTTTTAAAATATTTTTTATAATCCATAATCAATTTACGAAAAACCGTAGAATATTCTGCCTAAAACAGATATTTAGTTTAAATTTACATTTAAGCACTTTTGAATAGTCATCACATTTTTTTTAATCTACCGCTTATTTGGAAAGCTGTCTCATCACAAAAAGAACTTCATCATCAGAAGAATCAACATCAGCGTGTTGCTCTTTTATATAATTTTATTATTACTTTACATTTTTAAGTTTAAGTGTGTGAATACAAACTGCCGATTAGCACTAATTCAATTAAATACTCAAATAGAAAACATGTTAAGTATACAACCAAATGGTTAAACAATTAATAAGAGGAAATCAGTCATAGTGATTAGAGCAGACCAGTCCCTACATGCAGCACGCGTTCACGAGTATATATGAGTAGAAAATCATTTATTCAAATCGACTTAAATTAAGCACTTTGAATAGTTATAGTTATCTACCGCTCATTCGGAAAGCTGTCTTATATAGGAAGAACGAGGACGAAAATTGTGGGTTGCCCCATTTACCATAAATAATCCTTGTAAGTTTACATTTTACAAGTTTGTGAATATAAACTACCAACTAGCCCTAGCCCAATTATTTCAATGAAACTCGATTAATAATATTTTTTTAAGTTTACGTCTAAGAGATTAGAAAATCATTTATTCAAATAAACTTAATTTAAGCACTTTTGAATAGTAATAACAATTTTTTTTTTATCTACCGCTCGTTCGGATAAGCTTTCTTATCACAAGAAGAATAAGCAAGATTCTCTTGTGTGTTGCTCTTTTAAACATCATTGCATATTCACATTTTACAAGTCGAAACGTGTGAATACAAACTACCAACCAGCACTAATTTATTAGGATCAAATATAAATACACAATAAGATTAAATCAGTCGTAGTGATAAGAGCAGACCAGTCCCTACAAGCAGCACTCGTTCACGAGCATGACGGATGAGCCAGCCATCACTGCGCTCGACCATTAATTAATTTATATGATTGCATATTGACAGATATCAGTTGTGAAAGCGGCTAGGAAAATGATCTAATGTCGTTATATATTCATAATTAATTCGAGTGAATCTTGTTCGACCACACATTATGTTACATATATCATCTTTATGGTCAGACTTTCGTTTTTTAATTATTCACCTAAGTTATGTGACTTTTAGATAACTCTGTTATTTATATAAATATATTATATAAATATGTTTTAAAGCACATTACCCAAGTTTACGTCTACTGTACATTATGCTTCATCTATCTATACATATAAATAAAACAGATATTGAAATAACCGTTTTTTACTACATGCATATGAATATAAATATGGCACATATACACTG